GCCCTCTCAACTCCTTGTGTGTGAATACGGAAATACGGAACTACCATAGGACAATCCAGGATTTTTTTTTAGCTCATTTATATTCATTTGACAGGTTAAGATAGGTTCATAGGCCTCTTCCCATGTTATTAACTCAATCAATTTGGTTGCACACAGGTTTAAATGAGGAGGCTTATATGTTCTAGGAGCTAGAGTTCCTGTTTCCTCATATTTTCTAATTTCTAAAATTTTGTTTACAGCAAATTCCCTTTCAATTTTATTTTGGCTGCAAAGTAATGTCTGCAATAAGATTTCAGAATGAGAATTCCATGCTGATGATCTCACATATTTTTCAATAACTTTTTGTACATTTTTATCTTGAAGTTTGATAAGGTTAAGTTGGTTCAAGATGTGCCGTGGCCCTTCTATCCAGCTATGCTTCACTTTGATTTGAAACCACATAGGGAAGTATACTGATACAAGAAACTTAACAATTAATTCTTAGGACATAAGTTTCTTAGGACATCTCCCTCTAACCCATGCTTGCTTATCCACAATAAAAGTTAGGAAGACCCTGTATTGAGCCACCTTGAATGAACTATAGTGCCTGGTTTTTGGATTGCCAAATCTTCAGTAAGAGTTCCTAAAATTACTGTCTGGCATATTTTATAAGCATATTTCTGATCTGAAGACAACTCCTTTATTATTTCCTCATCAAGTTCAATTAAACCAGGACCTACAGATATTGGCTTGAAACTGTAATTTCTTTCCATTTCAGTAACCTTGAAAAGCAACTTACCAAATGGTCCAGAAAACCCTGTCTTTGAGGTTGTCTTCCCTTCAAGCTCTTCTACTAAATGCCGAAAACAAAGTTCGTTTGTGTGAAGAGAGCATACTAGCCCCCCTTATTTTCTTTCTAATTTAATTTCTAAACAATGAATAACACCTCCATTATGGCCTGTATTTGTAGCTGTGCTATAAAACTTTTTGGTTTCTTCGTTAAATGTCATTAAATTGGTTTTGTCACTTCTTCCATCAAAGAGAATGCAAGAAACATTCTCAGAATCTAATCTATTCTCTGCAAAAACCTGACATTCTGACATAACTTTATCTTTGGCTCTATGCACTTTGTTTTTGTCCAGTAATAAAAAATTCTGGAACAACTTTAGCCTCTACCAAATCTTTTAAAAATCCTGAAGCTATTGCAGCTGCAGCAGTGTTTGAAACTTCATATCTTATTGCAGCAATAGCAGTATTTTGAATCTTCATATAATTTCGCTTTAGTTTGAAATCATCACTTTTGTTTAATAAATCAATATGCTCAGTGTAACTTGAACATTCAAACTCATTTTTAGAGCACTCTTCTTCATCATTACTTTTTTTCTGAAACCTCAGCATAGGTTCTTTTTGAATGGCTACTATTCATCATCTCCTTTTTTTGAACTTTTTCAAACTCTGTTCCTTTTTACTACATCGCTCAAATGCCTTTCACTTCCTTTTAGTCTCTATGTAGTCTTTTCATCCTATCATAATTTGAGACTGCTCTCCTTCTTTACTTCTCTGTGAGTAATTAAATTCTAATTCTATTGTAGGAATCCTCACTGACTTTTCACATTTACAGTCAATATGAACTTTTTTTTCACATCCCAGACAACTTGATTCACTACAGAATAAAATTGCACATTTGCAGTTAGTTATATCAAAGAGTCGTGACAAAGACTTCATTATTTTGTCAATTTCTACTTTTTTAGTTAATCTTTTTCTGCAAATATCCTGAACATCATTGTAAATTTTTTTGATCTTTTTGTCAATGGACTTATCTGTAAAAATAACTGAATGTGAAAAGTCTGAGTTTGCTTTTTTCCATTGTTTAACAACTTCTAACCTTGTTTCCCTAACCAAATCATCTAATGGATATACTTTTTTTTCTGACAACTCTTTAATGAGGATAGCTTTTCGAAGAACAGCACCATTAATTGGTAGTTCAGATGGAATAAAGTCTCTACCTTTTCCTTAAGATAAAATTTTATCATATTATTATTATTATTACTATTATTACTATTATTATTATTGACAATAATAGCAATAATATTGCTATTATTGCTATGATTATTATTATTATTGTTGTTGTTATTATATTACTGTTATTGTTAAATAATAACATATTAATATTATATCAATATTATAGTATTAAGATATAAGATTAGTATCAAACAATTAATATTAATTTTAAATTAGATCATAATATTTAAAAAATAATATTTGTCAATATTATTGTTTTCATTGGCAATGATCAAATTTTTTAGGAGAAAATGTATTATTCATGACTTAATAATTATATTATTTTAAAAATAATATATTTAAAAAAATATTATAAATAATTTCAAAATAAAGCAATTAGGTTTTTAAAAATTGTATACCTATTAAGTCAGACATTGCTGTGCTTGTCTTTTTTCTTGTTTTTATACCACTCATTTTATTTAAATAAATTTGTAAATTTTATTTTTTACTTCAACTATATAGTATTCGTGAATTAAAGTTAATAAAAATATAAAAGCGAACTACAAAAAATATAATGCCAAAAATATTGAACATCAAGAACTTTTTTGTTTCAAAAATTCTTATAAAATGTAAAAAATTTAATTTTATCAAGAAGTTTTCACGGTTTTTTATTGCTTCCGCTTAAAAATGAATTAACGCTTCAAGATAATTTTAAGGTTAATAAAATATAGCAATAAATCAATTTTTGCAAATGAAGACCTATTAATAGCAGCTTTATTTTAACAGATTCTAAATTTAAATACTTTCTAGCAAAAAAATACCAAGGGCCAAGTGTTTATTATAAAAAAAGTTGTTTTTTGAAAAGTGCGGGATGCCCTAATGTACAGTTGTATATATTTTTTTAATTTAAAACATATAAATTGTTCAAGTGTTCATTTCTAAAATAAATCTTATTTAAAATTAAAAAATTGTTTTGTTTTTATAAACGATGACATTCTATGACTACAAAAGTCTCTTTTTAACGAATTTAAATATAAGAATGATTAAAGTTAATGCATTTAAAAAGATAAACAAAATTTCGTTAAAAAAAAAAGTTTTAGAAAACCGTTACAATAAGTTTGATCTTAAATGCTTTTATATTATTGAAACGCTTTTAATGAAGTAAAAAAAAAACACTTCTAGTTAATTTAAACAAAAGTATTAATAAAGTATTTTTTTATTTTATTTATATAACTATGTATTTTTTATGAGAAATATTTAACTTTTGAACATATTAAATAAATAAAAAATATATAAAAATATTGAAACAAAGATTGAAAAGGTTTTTTAATGCGTAAATTAAATAGACTAAGCATTTTAGTTTGATGAGTTTTGTTTTAGTTGCGTTATATATATATATATTTATTTTTTTGTGTTTGTGCTTTAACTATGCTTTAAGTATCTTTTTTATTTTCTCTTTCATTATTATTTATTATTTTTAAAATTTTTTTCAGATAAGTTCAGGTAAGTTTTTGTAGCGCGTTTTTAAAATTTTAAAAATATGCCATGGTCAAATCGTTAAAACATTTTTTTTTTGCGTGGTCATATAAAGACGTGAAATCGCACGTCTTTCTGTGAAAGCCTGATACATGTGTATATATGTATATATACACATGTATATATATATATATATATATATATATATATATATATATATATATATATATATATATATATATATATATATATATATAACATCGTTTTGTAGTATTGTAGTAGTAGAGCACTCTCTTCATAAGCGAGAAGTTCTGAGTTCAATGAATCCATTAACTATGTCTCATCGGATTTTTCTTGGTTTTTTGGAGTTCGAGAGAAATCGAGAAACTTTGACAGAACTTCAACAAAGTTTTTAGAAAATGTCTATTTTTTACTGGTAAAATAACTAAATTTTTATTTTATTTTTACGCTGCTTTTACAAGTTTTTGTTCAATAACAACACTAATTTACATCCAGGCTTGGCCAGGAAGGCATGCAATTTTAAGTCTTTATATGACCATGCAAATAATATTTTGTTTTGATGATTTAACTACGGTTTTTAATAAATGCATTAAAAAAATTGGTTTTTAATTACGCAGAAAATAAATAACTTCAACACGTTTATCTTTACTTACATTTTTATATTTAAAAAACTCTTTTAAATAAAGTAGCCGATGATTTTAAATAAAGTATCATTAAAAGTTGTATAATTTTTGATTTATATTATTTAATTATTTAAGTAAAAATAAAAAAAGCAAAAGTTGAAAAAAAAAATTTAATTTTATAAGCAATGACTTTACCAAGCGAAGGCCGATTAAATAAACTTTATATGAGAATCATTTAAGTTTTTGATGAGAAAAATTAAAAAAAACCTTTTCGAAAGTTTGAATTAAATAACTTTGATCTTTACATATGTTTTTATATTATTGAAACACATAATATAGTAATGATAAAGTAACAATTCACTGCTAATGATTTTTTATAAAAACGTTAATTATAATCAATTGTGGTATAATAAAATGTAATGCATAATAAAACACCTTTTTTTTGTCAAAAAAGCAAAAAAATTTTATATTTTTAAGATAATGGGGGTCGTCCATAAAGTACATACGCTTGGAGAGGAAGAGGGGGTGCATAGGGGGCGTTTCTGAGATAAGGGGGCAGTAGATCAATTATAAAAGTATGGAGACACTAAACTAAAAAAAATACCATAAAATGTTGGTTTGGAAGGTTAAACGTGTAGATACTTTTAGGGAGGTAGAGAGTAATCAAAAAAGCGTATGGCAACTTGCGGGGAAGGAGGGGGGGAGGAAGGAAAGGGGGTAGCTAAAAAAAAGCGTACGTACTTTATGGATGATCCCTTGTAAACAGCAACTTTTAAAATATTATGTGTATATGATATTAGTTAATATAACTTTTGAATAGTTTACTTTTCCAAAAAAAAAATCAAAATCGTTGTTTTTAATATATACAAAAACTGGTCTTAAAAAAACTAGGTAAGTTTTAAACATATTTTATTTTTTATTTTATTATGTCATATATGATCAAAATGTAGAAGTAACTGGTGTGAAAACAGAAGCAATTTTGAAATTTGAACTAGCTATCCACAGAATTTAAGCAACTTCCTCATAAGCAGATAGAGTTTTCTCCTTGTCTTCCAGATTTGTCACAAAGTTTTGTAGTTCACTTTCTGATGAAATGATAGATGTTTTGATCTTTTTAAAATATTATTCAAAAAGATCTTCATAATAAATGCTTTTTTTAATATTTTTTTTTAACTTTTCCTATAGGTGTCCAAGAAGTCTTTATTATAGAGCACCACAGAAGGGCATTTAACTGATAGTTCATGCCTAACCGATGTCAGTTAGAAAGCCATTTTTTATTTTTTTTAATTTTAATTCACCTCCTCAAGGCCAAGAAGGCCACTACAGACAAGGAGGCTACTTATTTGTGGCTATAACCCTCTCTCAACTCTATAACTCCGAAACACGAACCTTGACTAACAAGGCTGTTGCGCGGAGAAACGAGTTAAGCGCGGTACTACCAGGGACATGGTGGAGATCGAACTCGGAACCACTTGTTTATGAAGCGAGCGCTCTACCACTATCGCATTAAATTTATTAGATAAAACTTGTTCGTTAAAGAATTGTGATAAAAAAAATATTTAAGTACTAAGAAATATAAAAATAAAAATTTTTTAAAAATTTATAATGAATTATAAATTGAAATATATAAAACTAAAAAAAAAAAAAAAATTACAAGAACAATGTTTTATTATCAACTAGATTATTTTTTCAATTTATAACAAAATATTATTGAAACTTAGAATTTTTTGCGACTCCGACGGAGTTTTTCCTTGATTTCTCTCAACATATATGTGTATATATATATATATATATATATATATATATATATATATATATATATATATATATATATGTATATATATATATATATATATATATATATATATATATATATATATATATATATATATATATATATATATACATATATATATATATATATACATATATATATATATACATATATATATATATATATATATATATATATATATATATATATATATATATATATATATATATATATATATATATATATCAACAGCTTTTAACATAAATTATTTTTAATTTACTCTAATTTTTTTTGTTTAATTATTATTTGGTTTGGTAAAGTGTTTTAAAATAATTTTTAAAATCGAAACTAAATTTTATACATACTTATTTATATAAAATCTATAATGTAACATGAGGTGAGAGATAGGTAGTAAATATCAGAATGTTTCTTAGAGATCAAAGTTTTTTTGTTAAAATATCTTTTTTTTTAAAAAAGTTCCGAAGTTTAATAATTTATGTTATAAAAAAAGTCATCTTAAAAAAATGGATAGGGTATTACATTTTTAAAATAATTTTTTTTTTAAATCTACAGTTATCAATGTGAAAAAAAAGAACTTTAAACACTTAAATTAACATTAGCAAAAAAATTAACAACTGAAATGCAAATTTTAATTCCTAAAAACAATACTTTAAAATAATAGCAATTTTTTGATTCTTATTGAAAATTTAACAATAATAACAACAGCTATATAAAAAAAACTTTAAATGAGAAAATGGCTACTTTAAACTGTTTATACCAAATTAATTACACTTTTTTTTGTGCATAATCAACAACACCTGTATTGCTTCCATACTTGATGGTAGAGTGGTGAGCATTTTTTACAGTATATAACCCAAGCCATAAATGACTATGATGAAGAAATAGAACAAGATGACACACTAAATTTTGAACTTTCCAGCTAAATATTTAATTCATAATTGAACTTTTCCAGAAGATGAGGTTGCAGTTTTTCAAAAACGTTTTTAAAGCATAAAACTGATTCAGCAATAGATTCTCCAATCACTTAGCTAAAACCTTTTTTTAATAATTTAATTCATTTTGAGACAACTGACTACAGGTTGTAGAAATATTATATTTGACTGCATAGAGGCAGCAAAAAATAATTTCTAGATCATCTAGGTTATCTAGAGTCTCTGTGAATTGTTACCATTTAAACCTTTTCCATGGTAACTTTTAAAAATAACACAATTTGATTTAGACCATGTATCAAAATCAGGCCACAAATTTATTAATATTTTTACAAACATAGAATTAATAGCAAAAAAATTGTGTAACTCTGAAGGATGGATAAGATGTTCCACTAAAGTTTCTTAAGGTTCATCAAGATATACAATTCAAGGAGAAATACAGTTTATAAATTCCTTCATGCAATTATTCTTGCATCTATCTACAACATTCATGCAATTATTCTTGCATCCATCTGCAACAAACTTATCGTAACTCAATTGAACCGACAGTTTTTAACTATCGAGAGTACTTTCTCCATCACAACAGAAAGAAACATACCATTCTGGCTGCTTAAACCAACTAAAGAGTTACCACATTTTACAACAAATGCAAATATTTTACATCATTCAGCACTAG